TTTGAACACACGGTGTCTACATATCACTTTACTTGCTGCAGAGAATGGGATATCTTATGTCTATGACTAGTTTAAATGACCATTGAGTCCAGCCACTATATTCTGGAGGTGCCCTAGCTAAAAGCAAATTATGGAGCAGGGTGGGAGGAAGAAATCAGACCATGTGGCTGGGGATGAGGAACAGATGAAAAGGGTAATAGACCAGAGGTCATAAACAAGGCTATTCAAACATTCCAAAGTACTTGGAAGCTGTGTAATTATTTATAGGGCACCTATCAGCATGGGTGGCCCAGCCTAAGCATAGAGGAAGACATGGTCCCTTAGTTAAGGATTTTTAATCTTGGAAATTAGTTCTACTCATGAATTCCTGGACAAAAATATTTGTGGACTGTAAAATCTAGTAGAGCCAAGAAAGATACAGCAAGAATTTATAGAATAAATAGTGATGAATATTTGATTAAAAAAAAAAAAACACACACACACACACAGGTTGACATTTGCATTGTTGTAATCCTTCCTGAAGGAGGCAGCATGGTTTGGAGGACAGAGCATGTAACCGCATCAAACTGCCTTAGTTCTAATCACATCTGACACTGAATCATTGTTGGCCCACGGCAACTCACAAATTCTCTGAGTGAATTCTGCTGTGGGGTGGATAGTTCATTATCTCAGACCATAGATAGCCATTTACACATATGCAAAGGGGATGTAAAAACTACCAAATTAGAACAGTACCATTTTATAACTACTATGACTACATACGATGAAAGACTGGAGAGAATGAGGCTCTGTTTCCAGTGAATAAAATGGGGTAATACTATGTCCCTTATTATGAGCATTAATGAATAATGCTTTGAAGATATAAACTATGTATTGGTGTAAATAATAAAGTATTAAGAAACACTGGAAGAAAATTATATCAACCCCTTGACCTCTCAACACACAAAGTTAACTTTTCTTTCTGTTCTAAATATATAAATAACATGTTATAAAATACTAAATGCAGGTGTGATTTTCTCCAAGGGTAAGACAACTGAGGGTCATATTATAAAATAAAGGAAAAAAGCTTATGGCACTGTCTGTTCTAATTTCTTGGTTTTCCTTGAGGGGTCAGAGTTCTATCTTTCTGCATGAATTCTTCAGAAAAATCTGTGATATTTATGTTAATGAGACACAGTCAGCCTAAAGAACACATTTAATCACTTGGAGTTGGAAAAATAATACTTTTTATGACTTCCAGAGTGAGGTTCAAAACTGCTAGTTTAGTATTGCTGAATCTTCAGAAAATGGTTGCAGAATTCTGACTTAAACCACAACCACTGCAGAATTCTGGACCCCTGATTCAGGAAGGCCTCCCAGCTCAGAAAAACACATGCATTTATGTTTAAGGCTGATTGACGTCAATAGGATTTAAGTATATACTTAAGTGCTTTCCTGAATTGGATAAAGATTTGCCTTTGAAGTTCTTAAAATGAAACAAAAAGCAAACATGTTCTTGGACTACACATGGACTTGTATTTTCCCTGTGAGGTAGACAGAGAAGGTAACATTTTAGAAATTTGAATACCCACTAACATACAATGAATCTGTTTTTGAGTAGTGGCAAAATTGTAATTACCTCATCTGGAGCAGTATCAAGTCCCCATTCTCTGCAAGACTAGTTATTTGGTATACCCAGGTGTGCAATATCGCCTTGATTCTGCAAACATGCATACAGTTAATCACATGTGTTTACAGGATTGGAGTCCAAGTTCAGTGCACAAGACATACCTGGTCTGAGTAGAAGCCTGTCCTTATCTTACATCTCCCCATCACTAACTATATGGATTGCCATTTAGGATGCTTAGTGACACCCGCCAGTTTTCCTTGCCTTTTTGTTCTCCTGTCAGACCCACAATTTAAGTCTCTCTCAATATTGCTCTCAGACATGAAAATTCAAATAATGCCTCCAAGAGAAGAGACATAAATTATTTTATTATCATATATTAAAGAAATAACCAGCCAGTGGCAAAGGCTAGAAAAAGAATGAGCACTTCTGAAGTCTAGACAGAAATAACACAAAATGCAAAGCGGTGAAATGGTTAAAGAAGAAAGTTACCTTTGAAACAAAAATTTCTTAGAAAATTATTGTAGGGTGACAAAGTTCCTCCTCTATCTTGGTGGGTCCTGCACTTATTGGCAGATTTTCTTGCCTCGGAGATTCACCATGTGGGTTGGGGGAACAGCCCAGAGACCTTCCCCTCTGGAAGAACCCACAGTCCAGGTCAATTGGGAGGAACCCAGGCCCACCCTCTACTCCAGGTTCCAGCCCAGGGCCCTGTGGACTGCAGCTGTCTATAGTGCCTCCTGTAACAGCTGCATGACAGCTACAACTCCCTGGGCTACTTCCCCATGACCTCCTCCAAACACCTTCCTTATTCTCACCACAGGACCTTCCTCCTGGTGTCTGATAACACTTGTGCTCCTCGGTCCTCCAGCAGCATTCACTCTCAGCTCCTTGCACCTCTTGCTCCCAGCTCCTCACACTCCCACCACCAACTGGGGTGAGCTCCTTTTTAAAACCCAGGTGCCCTGACTAGCCTGCCTTAATTGATTCTAGCAGCTTCTTCTTAATTGGCTCCAGGTGTCCTAATTAGCCTGCCTGCCTTAACTGGTTCTAGCAGGTTCCTGATTATTCTAGTGCAGCCCCTGCTCTGGTCACTCAGGGAACAGAAAACTACTCATCCAGTGACCAGTATATTTGCCCTCTACCAGACTCCTGTACCCCACTAGTCTGGGTCTGTCACAGTAGGCACACTAAGGGGTAAAATTTTGACTTTGTTGAAGTCAATGGAAGCTTTGGGATTTGGCTTTTCAAAAAGAAAAAGAAAAAATACAAAAACTTTTAAAAATATTTGGATGGCCTAAGGCATTACTACACAGGCAACTTGGTTCAGTGGATGTGACACTACCCAGGACACCTGGGTTCTATCTCAGCTCTGCCATTGATGTGCTTTGTGACCAAGGGCAAATCATTTTGCCTTTCTTTCCCTTCCCATCCTCTGCCTGTCTTAACTATTTAGATGGAGGGTTTTTGCAACTGGAATTTTCTCTTATGATGTGTTTGTACAGTACCTAACATGATGGGACCCTGGTCACCGTTGAAGCATCCAAGTGCTACTGTGACATAATAACATAGATAATGCTTCATTTGTGTTAGCATACACTGACAATAGTCCTTACAGATGAGGGCACTAAAGAGTGTATCAGATTGCATCTGATACACTAGCTATGGAGCAGTCCTCTCCCTGAATATCAATAAATTATGCTTTATTGTGAAGGACCAGATTGCACCATAAATTCCAGGTACAGGTTCCAACATTTCATTTAATAAGTGAGTACTGTATGCTGGTGCGTTCAACGTCCTCTCTCTATATAGCATCAGCTGGCCCAAATCCTTTCTTTCTCTCTCGCTCTGTTTTTTGCACTACATCTGGCTGTTCCCTTTCCTCCCCATAACATTGCCTCAAACTTTTTGCTCCCTTACTTCCTGCCCTGAAGTTAATGCTTACTTTGATACTAAATTTAGCCCCTAATTGCCCTGTCCAGACTAATATACCCACCTACATTAATAATTTCCCACCCCCACAAAAGAGCAGTGCTCCTTCCTGCCCAACTCATGACTACCACCCACTGAGATAAAATGACCCCCAACTGTCTAACACCTAATTCATCAGCTCCCACTCTTACCTATGCAGTTGCTGTTAATAGTGTCACTCTAGGCTAGGTCACTGCCAGTACTCAGAAGTCTTTTTGCTATGTATGGCTAATAAAGACAGTAACATTTGTCACCTTTCTACACTTGATAATCCTAACCTTTTATGCATGTGGAGAGATTGCCTTACTATGGACAAATGTGAGCACTGCATGTGTGCTCCTCACTTTGTCCCTCAGATTAGAAGATTTTGATGTATTATATTCTCTCAGGTGGATATTACTGTATTTGTTAGTGTCCCCACCTATGTGGAGATGGGCAGTATTACTGGGTGAGTTAGGCTGTGACTTCACTAGGAAAAAAGGGTATTTAAGCCATGTTAAAATCCTAATGAAGCAGTTATGGTTTTAACCTATCTACACTGGTCCGGGGGGGATCTGAAGGTTTTCCTTGACCAGCTAATGTGGGTTGAAACTACAACTTGCCTTATCTACAATAGAATGTTAACAGGAGTTACCTTAACATGGGTTAAAAATACACCATTACTCCCAGATCACAAGACCTTACAGTCTCTGGCTTTTTCACTGCACAAGAGGTTCATTTTACATTGAGATACCTAACTCTAGAAACAAGATCAATGGAGATAAATCACAAGTAGTTTTTAACCTAGATGTAGCTAGTTGAGGTCAACCTACACTGCCACCAGGCTACATTCGGTAAAACTATCAATGCTTTGTCTCCACTGGGATTTTACACCATTAAACAGCTCTATGTAAAAACACACTTTTTTTTTTTTTTTTTTGGCAGTGAACATGTTACCTATTTCCCTGTGTGGGGGTGAAGGGTGTGCTACAGGCTGTTCTCCTGTGTGATGGAGGGAGGGAGAGAGGAGAGTTTTGCTGGGTGTATTTTCATTCAGTGGTTCCCCTGCTGTGGATGTGAGAGTGGTTGCTGGGCCTGTAACAGTGTTTTCTCTTCTGTGGGGGAGGCAAGGAAGGGGGCAGGTGACAGTCTCTCCCCTGTGCCAGGAAGGACATGCAGGGTGTCGCTGTGTCTGTGTGTGACAGTCTCTCCCCCGTCTGAGGCCGGGGTGGCGGTTACACCGCTCTCCTGTCAACCTGACCCCCCCAACCCCGAATCCCCACCAGCCCGGGCCCGCTGCCGGGGCAGTTGGCGCATGCGCCCGGGTGATGGGGGGGCGGTGCCCGGCGGTTGCCGGCTGCGCAGTGCCCAGGCAGCGCGCGGGGGGTGCGCGCGCGCGTCAGGTGCTGTCGCCGGGCTCCCTCCCTCCCAGCAGCCGGCCGCCGTTGGCTGCCGGTGACAGGCGGAGCCGGCCTCGCTGCTGCCCGGCATGAGGGGGGGCGGCTGCGCCCCGGCCCCCGCTCACTAGCCCGGCCGAGCCGCGCAGGCGGGCCCGGGGAGCGGCGCGCCATGCGGCTGTGCGGGGCGCTGCTGAAGAGCCCCATCCCCAAGCAGATCGAGCACTACTCGCGCTTCTCCCCCTCGCCGCTCTCCATCAAGCAGTTCCTGGACTTCGGTGAGTGGCGCCCCCGGTGGAGGTGTCAGCCCCAGCTGCCCTCGCAGCAGGGCCCCCCGGCTGCTGTCTCTCTTGGGGGAAGGGAGATGCGCAGCCCCCTCCCTCTCCTGGTTGGGGGAGGGGCGGGGGTGGCATTGGCACCCCCTGGCGTGTGTGTGGTTGGGGGGGCTGAGTGCGGTGCTACTTGTCAGGTACATGCCGCACCACGGGGCGGTGATGCGCCCAGCCCCGCTGTGGGTGAAGAGGCCTCGCTCTCTGCCTCGCTCCTTCGCTGGGCCGGGTGCTCAGCCCGCCCAGCTTGGAGGGGCCATCGCCGTGGGAGGCCGAGCAGGCTCCTTGTCAAGCGGGCTCCTGCGTCCCCTGAGACTACGGCAGCTTTCATGTGTCTCCTCCCACTGGAAAACTTCTGCTGGCTGTTCCGGGTGCTCCCAGGAAGCTGCCGAGACAGCTGCACGCCCTGGCTTGTCCTCTGTGCGGCGCCTCCTGGGGTAACGCTGCTGGTGTGGCTGGCGGGGAACAGGCTGGAGCTAGGAGTGTCCGAAGGACTCAGGCCTTGGCTACACTGGCGCTGTACTGGGTGTGAAAACGCCCCCCCCCCCCCGCGCAGTGAGTGCAGCTCTGTAAAGTGCCAGTGTAATCAGTGCCTGCAGCGCTGCACGCTCGCTCGCAGTGCTGCAAGCTATTCCCCTCGGAGAGGTGGAGTACTTGCAGCGCTGCGCTGCGAGAGCTCTCGCAGCGCTGCAAGTACTCCACCTCTCCGAGGGGAATAGCTCTCTGAGGAGAGAGCTCTCGCAGCGCTGGCGGCACGACTACACTCGCGCTTCACAGCGCTGCAGTGGCAGCGCTGTGAATTCTCAAGTGTAGCCAAGGCCTCTGATTCCCCTCTACAGACAACCCAGAAAGTCAAACTGACCAGTCAGTTTTCATTGTTAGCATGTGTGAGTGCAAAAATAATGAAAGAAGGTGGGTGAGACCAGCTTCTGTTGGTGAGAGAAAAAAGCTTTCGAGCTTACGCAGAGCTCTTCTTCAGGTTTGGGAAACTAACTCAGGTTATGTCTACACTACAAATTACTTTGGTATAACACATGTTGCTCAGGTTTGGGTTTGAATAATCCACACCCCTGACTGACGTAAGTTATACTGACCTAAGTGCCAATGTGGACGGCACTATGTCGGTGAGAGAACATCTCCTGCCGACATAGTTAGTGCCTCTTGTGGAGGTAGGAGTTATTAAGCCGAAGGGAGAGCTCTTTCCCATTAGCTTAGGCCATGTCTACACTAGCAATCTTACAGCGACACAGCTGTACCAATGCAGAGAGTCCTTACAGCGACACAGCTCTATGCCAATGGGAGAGTCCTTCTGTCGAGCGGTGGTAGCTATATAGGGAGGAGAGCATCTCCTGTCAACATAGTGCTGTCCACACCGGCGCTTCTGTAGGTGTAACTTATGTCGCTCAGAGGGGTGTTTTTTCACACCCCTGAGTGACATAAGTTATACCGACAAAAGGGCTAATGTAGACATAGCCTTAGAGCATCTTCACCAGAAGTGCTACAGCAGTGCAGCTGCTGTTGTGTAGACATAGTCTGAGTGTTGCTGCTAAATACAAGGTGACCTGAAGAAGAGCTCTGTGTAAGGGCTTGGCTACACTTGAAAGTTAGAGCGCATTAAAGCAGCCCCGGGTACACTAACTCCCGATGTGTCCACACTGGCAAGGCACAAAGTGCCTGGACTCTGCAGCTGGAGCGCTCCTGGTAATCCACCTCCAGGAAAAGCATAAAGCTTGCTGTGCCCTGGCTGAAAGACCCGGGTGTCAATGTGAACGAGGTGTTGCATTACTGCACTGTGATTGGCCTCTGGAAACGTCCCATAATCCCCTGAAGTCAAGTGGCCACTCTTCTCATTGTTTTGAAATCAGCTACAGGAATGCGGATATGCCCTTTTAAAGCTCAGTTTCTGATAGCCGGCATGCTTATCTGCTTCAGGACAAAGCAACCATTACTGTGGAATGCTGCTTGCTTGTGTGTGTGAGAGAGGCTCGGGGGAGGGGGATCTGCAGCTGTCTGAACTTACAAGACAGCATGCTGACACACTCTTAGCCCCCCAAAACACCTACACAAACACACTCCCTGTCACACTCTGCCCCCTCCCCCCCCATTTGAAAAGCACATTGCAGCCACTTGCACTGCTACCACAATGCACTGCTCTTTGTGGCATTGCAAGAGCTGCTAGCGTGGCCACGCCAGTGTGCTTGCAGCTGACAGTATAAACACAGGGCAGCGTTTTCTCTGCTGCGGTCTCCAAAGGCTGGTTTAACTCACAGCGCTCTACATCTGCAAGTGTAGCCATGCCCTAAGATCGGAAAGCTTGTCTCTCTCACCAACAGTAGTTGGTCCTATAAAAAGATATTACCTTACCCACCTTGTCTCTCAAATACAAGGTGAAACAGATTGTTTAGTATAAGTAGTTCACCTTGAATGATCCCGTGAAATGTGTGGTAAGTGGCCCATTAACACCTGTCCAGTCACAGGGAGGAAAAGGTGGAGGTGGGAGAAAGTGGGTTACAGATTGTAATAAACCATAAATCCACCATTTCTATTCAGTCCATCATTTTTAGTATCTAGCAAAGTTATGAGTTTAAGCTCCCAGGCTTGTCTTTTGAAAGTGTTGTGCAGATTTCCTTTGAGGATGAGGACTTATAGGTCAGATGCAGAGTCATTGCTTTGTGAAAAGTGTTTACCCATCACTGATGTGGTGTTTTTATCTTTTATCGTTTTCCTGTGAGAGTTCATTTATACTCACCGACCTTGTCTCTCTAAAGCCTTGTCTACACTGCCACTTTACAGCACTGCAACTTTCTGTGCACACCCCTGAGCAATGCAGTTATATCGACCTAACTCCTGGTGTAGACAGCTATGTCGATGGGAGGGCTTCTCTTGTTGACATAGCTACCGCCTCTTAGGGAGGCGGAGTATCTACGATGAAGCTTAAGGATAGAAGCTCTTGTCAGTGTAGGTAGCATCCTCACTAAGTGCAGCTTTGTAAGTGTAGATAAGTCCATTATGTGTCCCACTTCTGGTGTGCACGAACCCAGTGTGCTGGAGATCAGAACACTTTAGCCAGCAGTATCCACCTGTGCTCTTCATGCCCTTGAGGGGGCCCCTCAACTGAAGGTTTAAAGGGGGCTGAGCGATCAACCAGCCCTCAGTTCCTCCTTGCCTCCTGTGGAGCCAGCTAGCTGTCACTTGCACTTGTGCTCCTCTTTATTCGTTTAGTAACTTTTATTGTAAATAGTTAATAGCGTGGTGTGCAGCTATTAGTATTCAAGAGTATACCGTGTTCTCTCACTCTTCAGTGATTAAGTTTTTTTAAAGGATTTATTAGGGCGTTCCTTCTAGCATTGTAAATCTCCCCTCACCCAGCATGGGGCCTTAGTGTGATACTTACTTGGATGGGTCCTCCATTTAAACCAGTGTTTCCCAAACTTGGGACGCCGCTTGTGTAGGGAAAGCCCCTAGCGGGCTGGGCTGGTTTGTTTACCTGCCGCGTCCACAGGTCCGGCCGATCGCGGCTCCCACTGGCCGCAGTTCGCTGCTCCAGGCCAATGCGAGCTGCTGGAAGTGGCGGCCAGTACGTCCCTCAGCCCGCGCTGCTTCCAGCAGCTCCCACTGGCCTGGAGCAGCGAACCACGGTGGGAGGCGCGATCGGCCGGACCTGCGGATGCGGCGGGTACACAAACCAGCCCGGCCCGCCAGGGGCCTTCCCTAAACAAGCGGCGTCCCAAGTTTGGGAAACACCAATTTAAACCATTTGCTTCATGTTTGTTAATTCTCCAGTCTGTGAAGACTGCTTTCCTTGTGACAATCACTTTGGTACACAGAATGGATGAATTGCAAACCTTTGTGACTGGAACACCGTACAGTCTTCTACAGAGACAACCTTATACTCAAACCATACCCTAAATTCCTCCCAAAAGTAGTTTCGGGCTTTCATTTAAATCAATCCATACACTTAGATGTTTTTTCATTAAACAATATTCATCCAAGGACACGCCACTTTTTTCCTACTTCAGGCCCTAACTTTTTTTTTTTTGAATGAGTCACACAGTAACTTCCCAAATTTTAAATACAATCATGGCTATTGTAGAGCTCAGTCAAGAAAAATAGGTTGAGTTATCAAAAACCCATAATTAAGTGCTTTGGAGCTATTAGGCTAGCAATAGAACTGGCTTGGCCAGTTACCCTAATATTTCCTTGGTTACGGCTATACTTCAGCATTAAGACATTTGTGAGATGGATTCTGCAGCTATAAGGTTAAATTTAAATGTAGCGTAAAAAGTAGGGATCAGACTTTCCCCTCTTTTTTAAAATGACAATATATAAAAATTCAAATATCAAATAGCCACTACATGGATGGCGGGGAAGGAACTCATCCAAATATATAATGTCCTGTGACTAAAGGCTATGGCTACGCTACAGCTTAAGTTGACATAAGTTATGTCACTCAGGGGTATGAATTAGCCACACCCCTAAGCGACATAATTTATGGCGACTTAAGTGCTGGGTGGACTGTGCTATGTCGGTGGGAGAGCTACCGCCACTCGCGGGGGCTGGAGTAATTAAGCTGACGGGAGAGCTCTCTCCTGTTGGCTTAGAGTGGCTACACTAGAGAGCTTACAGTGGCCCAGCTGCTGCGATGCTCAATTATTTGATTTTGATGTTAGCAATGTGTGCAGTGTTGGGGTTCCAGGAGCATGGCATCTGTGAATCAGGACCTATGTTTGTAATGTGCAAAAGAGCTAGCAATGAATGGGACGGCTGACTGTAGATTTGTAGCAGTCCATTAAGATATAACGCCTTGGGGGTTGGAGTCTCAGACTTCTTCAAATGTCTTACTAGATGAGATTTCCATGTCTTAATATGGGAGGGTCTCATGGACCTCCTTCCCTTTCCATTTCTGTGGCAATTACAGCAATTGCTGTTACAGAAAAGTAATCATAGAT